TCTGGACCTGCCGGATTGGATTCAGGCAGATCCTCGTCCATAGCCGATAATCTCGCAGTAGCATTTTGTACTATAGTAGCGCTTTCTTGAATATCAGGAATCAAAGTAGCTAGTCCTTCGTCTTGCTCAGTATCGTCTGGATACTTGAACAACGTCTTCGATTTGTTGCCTCTCGTACGATTAATCTTGTGAACGTAAATGTCCACGCAAACCTTCATACTGGATAGAAGGGATACTACGGACGGTTCACCCGATTTCCCACCTTTGGGTAACAAAAGCGGAGCCAACTGATTTGAACGAGCCATAGCTCGGAGCAGTTGCAATACCGCGCGATACAAAGGAATATGCCTGGCCATATCCAAGACCGAGTCGTTCCTTAAATACGAGGACAAAGCCGGGAGTAGGCATGACATGGCCAACAAGTCCGGGAAAGGTGAAGGTAGTTCCCTTTGCTTCTGTCCACCAGGTCCTATGTAACTCGCTAGTACCTGCAATAATACTGTAACGTGTTCCTCTTCAGATCTTTGTCGCAGCAAAGCTTGTTCAATGTTCCAAGTTTGTTGAGTTGAACCGGTTCCGAATCCGGTGCCCTTCGCCCAGTACAAATGCGAATTATCGTCGCTGCGTCCCGCTTCACCCTGAATCCCACTTCCTTTCTGATCCGCGTTCTCGTTCTGAGTCGTTTGATGAGTAAAAATGGCCAGACAATTCAGCAGAAGAAGCATGGCGCCAACCTCAATGGTCGTTTTGCGCAACAAGATACCTTCATCGGTGGTCGGTGGCGTGGCGTCGAGTACTTGTCTTAATACTTGAAACGGTAAACTCGGCAACGAGGCAGCCCACGGGGTCGTTAAAACGTCCCCGCCTTCGCCGTCGTCTGACACACCCAACGCGAGACGAAGCAGACACTGTGCTCGCTTTCGATGTCTCAACAACACTTCCGCATAACCTGGAAGTCTGAGGAATAGTCCGAAGGCTGCTAGAGAATGTGGAGGAACGTAGGGTGTCAGAGTCGACGTTTGCGGAGATGAATTGCTTCCACATTCTTCTAAAAATTCATACATGTCGTCGCTGCCTTCTATTTTTACCCAATCCGAATGCACCTCGGATGAGGGATTTTTCTCGGCTACTGGCGGTGGCCTCCTAGAATCTGGGTATACCAAAGGCAAGTGCTGTGCTAATATGGCTAGACCACCGCCAGCGCTAAACACTCCTAAAGAGCTCTCTATACTTCTATAGTTCAATAAATCGATCTCGTTCTGCTTCGTTAGATCCTCTGAAAAACAGAATGGATCACAAACCTGTTTGATGTATATTCGCTGGATAATTTAGAGTTCGTTAGAATACCTTCTGAATCTTTATTCCGCTGGCGTAATATGAGATGCAAACAAGGTTCCGATAACGATATTCCGCTGTCCTCGGCAATGGCTAGAAGCTGAGCAATAGTTAATCTTGGCGGTAACGGAATATTTGGTCTCGACGCATGTATCAAATACTGCTGGTTAGCGGAGTTACTAGAATTTGGTTGCATGTTATTGTTACTTGTTGCTGTTTTGGTAGTACTAGATGATGAGTCTGCAAAAATTTTATTACATAAGCGAGTTATGAAACAGTTTAGATAGAAATCAATAATATGACTTACCGGAAGTTGTTCTAGACTTTCTGACAGTAGGACCACGTGCTTGGGATCTATTCGAAGCTTCTTTGGCCCTTTTATCTTTCGCTGTATTTCCTGCGGCTACACTAAGTGTGTCCACTATAATAGCCATGCCAGACTCCCAGAGTTCTCTAGATCGATTATTAGTAGAGCCAGTTTCATTACCTTTGTATGTGTTTGGCAACAATAATAAGAACCAGGTACCTTTAAACAAATGTAGAAGATTAGTCATTCAATAGGAAAATATTTAACAATTACTAGATCTTGAAACGCAATCGTACCAGATACTTGTTGCAATATATCTGCTACAGTTGACTGAGTAGACATATACAACAATTGGTGATAATGGCCGAGCGGGTGAGCTGGATGTGGAGGCATGGATGGCATACTGTAATTGGCTGCCCTGTTTGAAACTTTCACAGGTGCTTCCGATGTCACAGACACCAACACTTTTTCACCTTCCAACAATAACTGCAGAATCAATCGTCTCGTAAAACCCGAAATTCCATGGAAGTACCATGCATCTATACAAAAGATAACATTAATATGCAAATGGTAGATAACTTTAATTTGAAGGAACTAGCGAAAGGAGCTTACTAGAAGTTATTCGTTGTTGAGAGATTACATCAGTCAACAATTTAGCCAACAACTTTTGATTCTCAAGATGACACCAACAACACCTAGATAAGAACTTGATTATAGCGCTTTCCAATGAAGCGTATGAAATGCTCGTTTTCGAACATCTAAAATGTACAAACGCATTATTAGTATCTAATTTGTTTCATAAGACATTCGTGGATTCTGTAGTATTCTACCTTGACGAAGACACAGATGGACTCTCTACAACTCGATTGCTAAGGAGAGAGAGAAGAGGTAACCAGAATCCGTGGCCCTCTTTTCCTAACCAATCGCGCATTCTGCCTTCTGAACATACCAGAGTCAAGAACTCTAACACCATTGCTATACTTTCTGGTTCCGTCAGACACAAACCATCTAAGCAGTGAGTTACATCATTAGTATAAAGGCTATAGATAACATTAATCATAAAAATATACACTTGCCGAAATGGTTATTCGTTTGTGTAGATGTTTCACTGGCTTTGTCACTATTGGTTAAACTAGTATCATCTACGGAATTGCTTTGGCAATGATCCTCCGAAAGTGACCTTTTACTTTGCTGCTGTTGCTGTCTGGATTCCTTCAAGTGACAAAAATCTGCGAGGAAAAACTTGCTATTTAATAAGTCATATTCTTTTAACGCGAGAATCCCAAATGGTCATGCATTGTTTCAACATCTTACCAGTGATTGATGCGATTAACAGAGCAGGAAGCCCGGAATCGATCAGCTGTTGAATACCCGGCGGGGATCGTGCTGCCGCAGCAACAGTAAGTAACTGACCTTCCGTTAAATTTAACCGCTTAGACTCTGACAACACAAAGCGACAGTAACATCCCTCATCGTTAAGGTCACCCTTTTTATCCTCAGACTGCCGGTCCCTTTCCTTTCTATCATCCGACGCAGACGCGGAATAATCCGTCGACGAATTAAGCACTAAAATTCCTACCCTTTGAAGAAGCAAAGGAAAAAGCGTCGGTCTCACGTAACAGAAGGCACAAAGAGCGGAGTCAATCGCCTGCTTCAAAGCCGAACTCGTATCCAAGGTCAACGTCCATTGATACAAAGCACTGCCAGAAGTACATTTTCAATTAAACTTCATCCAGAACAGATAACGGTGAACAACAAACAAAGCTACGTACTTGAAAAGCTCGTCCGTTAACAAAGCTTGTAAATCGTAATTGAGATTCTGCTGTTGGTGAGCTTTCCATATAATGGAAGACACACAATGAATGTATACTGCAGGTGGACTGATAGCGTTAGGGCTACTACTAGGTCGAGATACTCCGTTCAGGGCTGAAGCTTGAAGCCAAGAAAGTACTGCAATCATACGCGCTTCCGTGGAAGAATCTTGAATGGAACAAAGCTGTTGAAGTAATTCAACAACTAACTGAACTGTCGATGTCTCTTGGGTAGCCACAGCACCTATAAAAGTAATAATAAATTGTTTGTTATTCAGCCAGCTCAAAAGTACATCTTCATAAAGAAATACCTAACTCAATTTCTACGAAAAAGAGTAATACCTTGGAAGAAAGGAGTGGATCTATTGTTCAGTAAAAGACCAATCAAGCGTAATCCAAGCTCTCGAGAGTGTAAGCCGAGTTGAAATAAAACCGTCTCCAAATTTGGAGTGAAAAGAGATGGGGCTGACAGCAATAGGAGGTTACAGCATGCCTCTACTAGTCCCTCAACTGAGGCAGCGGAGTTGAGAACTTTAGTTGCGAGATCACTGTTCAATGCGCTCACAAACAGACACTGATGCAGCAATCGCAACCATCCCGAGCTGTACAAGTGCAATAAAAAAGGAATCCTCTCTTAAACATTTGCTCTTGAAATGACTGATATTCCAAGCAGTTATATTTTCACAGATGAGAGAAGAGTTACCTCGACTTCGTCAATTGTTCTTCATCAATTGTATCGTGATTAGTTTTTATTTCACCAAATGCCGTTGTACCCAATAATCTGATCTGACTTAAACTTATGTTCGTCGAATCTCGTGGTTTGTACAATCGCACCAATACACAAGTGGCTACTTCCGGTTGAGAGAGCGTGATACATATAAACGTTAATCCTGCTGTTGGCATCGGTGGACAGACAGGAGTTAAGGGACTGTTACTTTCACGTGAAACTTCAATAGCAACTGCCGACGGACATGCTAGAAACATAAAATTCGTTGTTATGAGAAACACGTGAACCATTATATGCTGTCGATACTACCATACAATACTGATTTATCTTACTGGCCAAAGACGTGAGATGCGGCTGCAACTCAACCTTTCTTAGTAATATAGCACAGGGTAAAGTAATTGTCAGATCCACCCACGCTTCGTCGGGGTAGCAATGATACAGCCACGCAGCAGTTCTCGCTCGTTTTTGAGGGGTGGTATTTTGTATCAGAACATCGGCTGGTTGTGCAGTAGGATTCAACCAAGATATAGTACCCAAGGGGGCAAAATTTAATAAGCCATCATCATGGGCCTCCAATGTGTTCACAGATTTCTTGCTACTAGTTGAAGCAACTGGTACCACATTAGGAGCATTCGAGAGGTGTTCCATAACCAACGCAATTACACCAGGCGCAGCAGAGTTATTATTACCACCGCTAGCTGATTTTACTAAATTTTCACAAAGTACTTTCACACCACCCATCGCTGTAAACATTGTCAGCGACACTTCATTATCTAGGACCCATAAGATGTACCAGAGAAGGGGCTCAGATAGTTGCATATAACCGAATTGGCGATCACATTCTCTTTGTCCTGACGCTGTAACATCATCATTATATCACTATGATATCTCAATATTTAAAATTAACTGGTTAAGTAACGATTCTTACAAGCAGAGAGATAGTGATAGAGGGGGTTGAGGACCAAGGTACGATTGCTGGCTTTCTTGGTGAGCGTGGTTAAGAGTTGGAATGTCGCATCTGGGATTGATGCCATGTCATCAAGTTCGGTCGCTGCCCCTGCTCCAGTGCTCTTGCCTAAAAGCATAGCTACGGACGAGCCAGTACTGAGACCGAGGGCTGCCAGTAATCGCGTCATAGTAGGCCCATGTTGTAAAACTGAAAAGAAACAGTAATTAGTGTTTCGAATCGAAATTACTGATATTCCTTTCCTCACCTGCATCCGCAACACAGCGTATATTGGTATTATTAGGCGTAGATTGTTGCTGGCGAGAAGAGGATTGCTGCTCCGCAACTTTACTTTCGTCAGTTTGCGAGATATTTATCTTCATCTGAGTTTCATTAATGTCATTTGTTGTATCAAGGGTTGCATCGGAGAGATCGTTTCCTATTGTACTATCGGACTGATCCTCGCAATTCTACAAATAAGAAATATTCAAATACGAAAACCTGTATCAGTATTTCCTACAGAGAACGTTAACTATGATAATACATACATCAAGTAGGGGAGTTTGAACAAGACGACACACTAGTTTGATAAGAGCTACGACTAAAGTATCCCAAGAGGCTGGACGTCCTTGTCGCGTATCTCCACCTAGCACACAAGCGAATAAACCACAGAATCCACCGGATGGATTTGCCAGATCAACGGTACCTCCGCACTGTACACCAACTGCTTTCGAAAATATTTCTAAGTAATTGCTTGGAAAAATGTATGAATCTCAGATGAATAATTTCAAGAAATTACCTCCAGAACGCCTGACATAAGTAAAAACTAGTACTCCGACGCATTCGATCACGCTCATTACAGTTCCTAAGTCTATCTTGACAAAATTTAAATCCGTTAAAGATGTGATAAATTTGTACTGTGCGTCTAAAGGTCCTCTTCTGGCAGAAAGAGCTCCTCCAGGTTGTACAAGTTGATCTACCACCCATAACAAAATTTTCCTCAATGTATCTCCTACGCCGAAACTAGGAGCGCATTTTGTTTTTAACCTGAGCAAAAAGTCTTGTAACGCTTGGCAAACAATAGGTCCAGCCTAAAAATGACAACGTTAAAATATAAATTTTCGTGAAAATAAAAATACTTGGAAAGAGATTGTAAAATATACCATGATATATTGTTTATCCATTGCATTAATGTCTAGCCCACTTCCAGACAGCAGACGCAGAAGCATTGGGCCCAAATTGCGCATTACAAGACACCTAGCCATACCTCCCGCAACCGTTTCTAATGACTGGCTGTTACTCGCAAGAGTCAAACATTCAAGAGCGAGGCACCAACCCCGCAAAGATACTCCTGGATGCCTAAACAATCATTTATTTTATATTAATAATTCACACATTTTACTTAAAAGAACGTTATAAGCAAATTAAATAATTTTCTAACTTGAATTATATTATATTTACCAAGATAATGCAGATATAAGGCCGGAAATAGCTATCGAACTTAAAGGAATCAGAGGTCTCAATGAAGGATGGATAAGATTTGACGAATTGGACTGCTCTGAAGATGCATCCAAATTTAATGTTAACCACAACTCTAAGGTGAGTTCCAAATTTGTTCCTACATTCTACCATAAACATATTTTAATTATGAGTTATCAGGTAGTATTCAAATATAATCATTATTCGTTAGATCATGGCTATTTACCTGTAAATACAAGTCCGTGAATATTTTGTTAAAACATCTAGTTAACATTAATAGACTGGGAGCTGTGAGACATAGCATGTCTCTAGATGATTGTTGTTGTGGATATCGGTTGGATTCCGTTGGAACCTTATGAAAACAATTATAACATTGAACAAATTTGTTATATTCAAAAAATGAAAATTGAAAAGCGATAACTCACATGTATTGTAGCATTTATACTTTGAGGCAAATTGTACATTCCTAAGGTAGACAACAGCCTCAACGACACTTCTATTCCCATTTCTAATCCATATTCTAATCTTGCATCCATTGCCGATGATATACTGCAAAGCATACAATTGTTTAATATTGAATTATTTTCAAATTTTCTTGTGTACCGTGTAAGAAATACCTGGAACTAGCCAAAGTCTTGAACATTAAATTCCCTTTCTTCAAGATATTCCTACCACGTTCGAAAATATCATCCAAATCCTCAACCTCACTGTCATCAGACTCCAACAGAGAAGGAAGAAATCCATTAGATTTTGACGTCGAAGCAGCAGTGGCCGCAGTTACCACTACACTATCCGGAGTATCTTCTTCTACTTCAACTGCAGTGAATTCTTCATCGTTACTAAGTGTAACTGCAGCACTACTTGTTCCAGCTGTGCCAACAGATTCTTCATCGATTACTTGGCATTTTTCTGTCGCAAGAGGCTCGAAATTCTCTTCTGATGGACTTCCTTCGTACGTAGAACATGCTTTCAAGAACAAAAATTTGAATAATTATGTACAGAAAAAAAGGGAATAAACATTAAAATTGTTTCTCAATGTGAAACATATGAAAAATAATATTCTGTGTACCTTCCAATAAATCCTGTAAGAGACATGAAACTGCGTGCGAAGTCCAGGCAGCATCAGAAGTACCAGTTGCCAGTCTAACTAATTTTAAGAGCTGTTCATCGCTCATGAGTTCGCACAAGCTAATTGTAGGACGTGTGGATATAACTAGCCTAGCGACTACCTATAATGCAAATAAATTCAATGATTTAGAAAAGCGCGGACAATACAGCTACCCTTTAAGTTCAAGAACACTTCTAGAGGATAACAATGTCAGAGATGACACAAATATACAAGAAGATAATAAGGAGATAATTTATTTACCTTACAAGCTAACAAGAACATGTCCACATTAGCAGAATTGCACAAAATTAAAGCGATTAGTCCTCGGGCTACTGGTAAAACATGTTGATGAGACAAGTTAGATATATACTCAACGTCCATATCCATCAATTCTGATTTACTAGAACTAAAAGAAAAAAGAAAACTTGAACGTTATTAATCATTAAGTAAAAGCCATATATAATAAAGTTCGTTGTCGTACAGACCTAGTGGTTGCTTGTGCTTGAGTTCGTGAACTTCGCGATGAATGCTGTGGATCATTCCTTCGAACCATTAAAAGATCTTTGGAGTGCTTGGCATTGTAATGCTTCTTGAAGTAACGCTCTTGAGTTTTCATTGTTGCTTTTAACTTAATGCAGACCGAGGCAGAATATGAGGAAAGTTTCTCCCATTCCTGTAGTATAACCATTTAGTGCTTACTTAAAATTATTAAAAGATTAAATTTATACCTGTGATAAAGGATGAACTCCTTTCTTTGCTTGTTCCAGTTCTTGAAGTTGCTGATTGTGTTCCATGATACGTTTTTGCCACTTCATAGGGTAGCTACAAGGAACAGCAGACCGATTGGCACTGTCATACTTTCTCTGCATTGCTGACTCTCCCTGTATGAATTCCCAACGTGACGAAAAACCTTACAAAAGAAATTTCATAACATAAGAATATCAAAATCTTGGCAACGTTTTACAAAAAAGAATGTGTAAAAATACCTTGGTCCTTATTTTTTTCGCTACTCCCTTCTGAACAGGGAGGCGGAACAGCCACAGTGTCTAAGCACACCGACAAAAAGAGTAATACCCAGCCAATAAGTGTTATATCCAAACGATTTGTGTTAGAAGACTGAACATTCGATAACGGTGCCAATAATTTCCCTAATGTGCGAACCATTGCGTCTATGACTGAAGATCTGTTGACTCCCGCGATCAATGATTTACGTCCCAGGAACGTTAACAGAATAAATACTCTACAAACGATAATGAAAGGATAATTTTTACATTATATTATTAAACTCTCGTCGAGTACACTTCGAATAAAATTTATATTACCTATCCTGAGGAAATATGTGCGTGGACGAAGACGAGTATAAGTTGATCAACAAGTTAGACAGAAAATTACCCCACCACGGTTGATGACCGGCCATGCGGGCTAAAAGTGCAACAGCGTGTAACTGCAACCGCGGCGCTGGCGTGACTACGCAAATCGAGTGGAAAAATTTTTCACACACCGCAGGTGTGAAAACATCACAAATTGACATCGGTATCTGAAATATATAGATTTATCTTAGATTTTGTTGCGACAATTTCAATACTAAAACAAGATAAAACACGTACACTTGGTACAGGACCGATCTCATATACAGTGTATAAAAGAATATCGAGCAGAGTCTCTTCTAAAACTCGCAATTTGTCACTAGGTGCATTTGCCAGAACCATTGATGGTACATTCTGAGAACCTTTCCATGATTCCAAACGTCTCCACACGCTATGCACAACATTTAGCTGATGTTGAAACATTATGCACTCCTGTAACATTCAACGTGTACAATGTTGTTGTCTTTGTTTTAATTCACTCATTCCACTTTCACTCACCTGGTAAGTTGCCATTATTTTTCCAGATAGTTGTTCCTTATTTACGTTAGGAATTTTATTATAGCAAAGATAGTGTTGCATATGCATAAAATTAGTGGTCTCTGAACACAACAGTGGATTTAGTAGGCTCTTTAATCGTTCAGTAGCTAAACTGAATCTGTATTAAGAATTATATACTTATAGTAACATGACGTACTCGTTAATTAAATGATATTTAAAATGAAAAGTACCTGCACTGAACATCCTCTGCAAGAGCAGACAAAATGTTGCATTGCGTGTCAATTGTAGCTTGTACAGAGGGATTGAAACTATCAAAAAGTGTAGGAGTATTATGCAATTCTGCATAGTCTTCTCCTGGTAGGACTACCATATGTCCATAGAACGTTCCTAATGGAATTTTGCACATGGTTGGAGACATACCGTATCGACCTATAGTTGTTATCTAAAAACAATACAAATACTTTTTTGTTATAGAATTTAAATGGTGTATACTTGATAGTATACCTTCAGATATCTGCACACAGGCGGTGGTTGAAGATCACACACAACCAGTGGCTTATTTCCAATATCAGTGGTTACAATTAACTTCGTGCTATCGACATCTTCATTTTTCGTCCATATATCTATTGTTAACAATGCCAAATCGCTGCAGGAAGGAATTATCAAGTCGGTAAGCAGTATAGGTGATCCAAAGTCGAGAATAACAAAGCGACGTGCACCAGAATGCAATCGATCGACCACCAATGCCTGCTGAGGTGGCCAACACAGTAATCTTCCCCATGGGAATGCAATATCCTCTCGCTGTAACGTGTATATAAGATAATCATTAAACTTTCAGTAACATTCAATGCAAATACTATAATCGAGTATCTACTTTGTTTCTACTTTATCGTGGAAGTAGACCATATAAAACTATACAGATACATGGGAATGCAACAAAAATGTAATTCTACAGAGCACAGTATTTCGGAACAGAACGTTTTAAAAGTACTGGAATTAAAAATTCAAGTACATTCGATGCTATCTTCGACCTTCGTTTACTGTGGAACGCTCTTGTAAGTGCGATAATAGAAGCATTAAACTGAAACTCTTACATAGTTTATTGAAGTAGATCAAGAAAGCTGGTATATAAAATTAAAACGCGAAATTTCTTTCGTAAACATAAACAAACACATTACTGTCTATAAAAATTACATCAGAAAATT